AGGCAAAGGTGTCTTTTGAGACAGAATTCCATCCTGGGGGCAAGTGCTGGAAATAAAACAGGAAAGAATAGAGATACAGTGTGCATCTCATAATATGAGAATGCTATGTATGTTTCTGTGGGATTTCTTAAAATGTACACATTATGATGATGGGGAAGTTGTATTTTTTTTATAATTGGTCCCAAGCAAAAAGTTTGAAAACCACATTGCAATGGTTTTCCAAAATCTTTTTTTTAATGTTTATGTATTTATTTTGAGAGAAGAGAGAGAGAGAGAGAGAGAGAGATAAGCTCATGCATACATTAGGGGGAGAGACAGAGAGAAGGAGAGACAGAGAAGCCCAAACAAGGCACCTCACTGTCAGAGCAGAGCCTGATGCAGGGCTCACAATGATATTGTGACCTGAGGAGAAATTAAAACTTGCCTAACTGCCTGAGCCACCTAGGAGCCCCTTCCAAAATTTAGTTCTAATCTTTCTTACTCTGCCTTCTGAATTATGTTCTTGAAATTCCCAAGTGGTCTTTTTACTTACCTACCTACGGACATTTAGGCCTGTTTTTCTCTGAGATCCATTGATACAGTGCACCCAAATCACCTGGGGTACTTTTTAAAAAATGCAAATTACTCAGGCCCCTTCCTACACCTATGAAATCAACATCTGGGAATGAGGCTTAGGAATCTCCCCTGTATATTCATGGGCACACTACAGTTTGAGAAACGTTAAGCCCTGAAAACTTAAGTATGACCCAAATAGGCCCACACATCCGCCCACTAAGGAAGCAGACACTGTAAGATACAGGACAAGGGGGCACCAGTTAATTAAGCTCAGTTAATTAAGCATCCCATTCTTGATCTTGGCTCAAGTCATGATCCCACAGTTTGTGAGACTGAGCTCCAAGCGGGGCTCTGCACAGACAAGGAGGAGCCTGCTTGGGATCTCTCTCTCCTCTCTCTCCGCTCCTCCCCTACCTTCAAAATACGTCAATAAACTTAAATTAAAAGGTACAGGAGAAGGATATTTCTGTGGTGCAGGTAGGAAGAAGAGAGGGGGTGTTATTTTATGGTCTCCTAAGCCTACTTTGGGGTGCTATAGATTTAAAATAAATCTTGGGCAAGCTGAACACATTAGGAGCCTTTGTATTTCAAGCAATAGATCCTGATGACAATGGAGACTGAGTTTCTACTTGTTCTGGCTTAGATCTACTTGGAGACCCAATAACATATGCCCCTCTATTTGGCCTTTTTAGTTAAGGGTCCTGTGATCATCAAGTGCCCCAACTCTGGACAAAATAGGGGTTTAAAGAACCAATGCAGGGGCGCCTGGGTGGCTTAGTCGGTTAAGCGTCCGACTTTCGCTTAGGTCATGATCTTGCGGTTCGTGGGTTCGAGCCCCGCGNGGTTCGAGCCCCGCGTCGGGCTCTGTGCTGACTGCCAGCTCAGAGCCTGGAGCCTGTTTCAGTCTGTGACTCCCTCTCTCTCTGACCCTCCCCTGCTCACGCTGTCTCTCTCTCTCTCCTAGAAATAAATAAACCTTAAAAATTAAAAAAAAAAAAAAAAAAAAAGAACCAATGCAGAAGTGCCAAGTAGCTTTTTGATATGCCAATTAAGAAAAGATGCGGAGACAATGAGCCATTCTATCCTGGGACAAAGAGTGATAAGAGATGTTCTCTTTCCCCCGTCCCCATGTTAAGACATCCCATGACTGGATGTAATTTTGCATCTTTGAGCAGAGGATGAAGGTGGATGATGGTATTTTTCTGAAGTCCTTTCGTCGCATTCCTGGTGCCTTATACTAGTGCAGCTTGTATGACCTCCCTCAGTTATGACATACATGTTAGTTTTTTAGTAAAGCACTGAAAACGTGTAATTTGTTTTCATATGTCAACTAATAATGCCTAATAACCCAGGAGAAGGGCTCAATAATTTGTATTTTTGGTAGCATCCCATAAAATTTAGTCGGAAACTCTAGACCGAATGGAAAATCTGCTGAAGAGACTAAACAGTATATAGTTTTTAAATGTCAACAATTATTGAGGTCAAAGTGAAGTCAGGTGTTCAAACTGCCATTGCACCCTTCACTTGTGCAGTTTGTGACATTTGCAGGTCAAATTTATTGCATAATAAAGAAAGTGGCTCTGATAGGGTTCTTTGTATTTGTATATTTACCTTGTGCCAGCTGATGATGAAACCCACCTTATCCAAGTCACCCCAGCTAAGAGTGGCATTAAAATAATTTCAAACAGGAGCCCTCTGCTAAATGGTCCCTGGCTAACTGGGTGAATGACACTCCTGCCTCAGTTCAAATCCCTTTTGATTATTTGATACAGGGAGTCACCTGGGGTGCCTCACCACTCTCTCTGCCTGTGCTGTTGCCTGAAGGATCCTAGGTCATTACTTGACATTGCCTACCACTGTGTGGTTCCACTCCAGGGTTCTGAAGCCTTCTTAGTGTCCAGGTGTTGACTACATGATCCCCCAACTACAGAAGGCATGTCTTTGGTCTTTCACACTTGCCCTACTTACATTTCAGATGTTCCAGAGTAACACTGAGGTTAAAGTGGCTGAGCTGTCTTGCCCTGTCCAGGCAGGCTACCCTTCTAACCCTTCCATGTGTTTACCAACCTGGAAGTTCTCTGAATATCATCACTGAGATTTTTATGAAGGCTTCATTACCCGGCATCATTGAGTAAATCATTGGCCATTTGTAGTTGATTCAACCTCCAGCCCCTCTCTTCTCGCTGTAGGTCAGGAGATGGGGCTGAAAGCTCCAACCCTGTAGTCACAAGATTGGTTCCCATGGGCAATCAGCCCTCATCCTGTTGTCATCTAGGGGATTTCCGAAAGTCACCTTATAGACAGAAACTCAGACATAGTTGAAGAGGCTTTTTATGAATAACTAAAGACATTTTCACTGATTCAGGAGCTATTTGAGGACAAAAGACCAAATATTATGACAAAAGATGTTTCCATTGCTCTAATAACTTAGGAAATTACAGGATTTGGGAAGCTGTGAGCCAAGAATGGTGGTTAAAGACCAAAATATATTTTTTATTATATCGCATTATCACTCCTCTCTACCAGAGATGACACAAGTTAATCATTAGAGACAACTCTAGACCTTTATCAGCCCAGAGTCTGCACATGCTATTGTAGCAACATGGATGGAACTTGAGGGTGTTATGCTGAGCAAAATAAGTCAGGCAGAGAAGGACAGATACCATATGTTTGCACGTAGAGGTGAATTAGGAGGAACTTAATGGAGGACCATGGGGGAGAAGAAGGGGAAAAATAGTTGGGGAGAGGGAGGGAGGCAAACCATGAGAGACTCTTGAATGTTGAGAACAAACTGAGGGCTAATGGGAGTGGGGAAGAAGGGAAGGGGGATGATGGGCATGGAGGAGGGCACTTGGGTGTTATATGGAAACCAACTTGACAATAAACTACTTGAGAAAAAAAAAGAAGGAAAGAAAATGACACTTACAGTAAAGTATTTGTCACATCTAATTATAACCATAATCATTATTGGGCTGGCTTTGTCGTAATTAGGTATAAATGCGAGTAATTCACATAAGATCTAGTGATCACTATATTTTTATGAGGTTAAATCTGATTTTTAGTTTTATGTCTTCTTACTCTGTCAGTTTGTTATCATCTATCATCCTAACAATAGTTCTTCATTATCACAGGGACACAGCAAAGAGCATCATTTACTACTAGAATTCCCTTGCTTCGTGTTCCTTACTCCCACAACTGCCTCCTCTTCTGTGCCCTTTCTCCACACTTGGTGTGGTAGGTGGCCTTTGAAGAGACCCTCAAGGATCTTCAACTTCTGGCATTCACATCCTTGTGAATCCTCTCCCAGTGAGTGTGGGCTGGGCCTAGTAACTTGTTCCTAATGGATAAAATATCAAAAGGGAAGCTATGTCACTTTCACAATTAGGCTTCTATCTTGCCAGCACTACCTCTCTTGCTAGCACTTTCTCTTGCCTTCTTGTGTGCTTATTTGGTTGGATGACACCAGTGCCATGCTCTGAAATGTTCTTCAGAGAAAGCCAATGACAGAGAGCCAAGGGAAGCATTCAGCCAGCAGCCAAGGAGAAATCAAGGGCTCAGTCCAACAGTCAGGGAGGAACCAAATTCTGTCAACAATCATGACAGTGAGCTTGAAAGGGATTCTTCCCAGCCAAGCCTGGAAATGCCTGCACCCTGGCTGACACCTTGATTGCATGATTGTGAAAGAAACTGAAGTAGAGATCACAATGTGGCGCTGGCTTCATCCGAGTAGCTAACATCTGCCCTGCCTACCTCACTTAAGATACTATTTGTAAAAGCACTTTTGTTAATTTCTAAAGAGTTGTATAAATCATATGAAAACAGATAAAGATGCAATCACCTGTCCTGGAGAATTACAGACAAGGTATAAACAGCCTAAGGGAGAACTCAGCTTGGAGTTAATGAATTTGTGAACAAAACAAAGTTGTGCAAGTCACAAACCCAGTGGCGCATATCATCTGTAAATACAGGGTCACATTTAAAGAAGCCCTCTCAAGTAGCCAAACATAATTGTTTTAGCCAAAGATAATTAGTAAGAGATTACATTCTTTATTCTAAATGCTGAGGAACATTAACAGGATGCAATGCATAACCTGCATGGACTCTTCTCAGCTCCCTCCAGTCTGCAATTTCTTGCATCCTGAGAAAGTTCCAGAACTTCCCACATACTTAATTTTCACACACTTTGTTGAGGCATAGTTCTGAATAGCTTTTATTTTCCCTCTCCCAATGCACCTGTTTCCTTTCCCAACAAGAATTCTTTTTCTTTTTCTTTTTTCCTTTTTTTTTTTTTTTTGGTTCATTTGTTTTGTTTTGATGGGAAAGGAAGCAGAAAAGAGAAAGAAAACTGATTTTATGGTGCAACTGGCACAACTCTTTTTTTCCAAATCAAGTGTTTTATTAAAAAAAATACTTCACAGTAAGGTAAAAGCTAAAAGGAGCATTTATAAGTTAACAGAAATAACAAATGTTGGCGGTACCAGCAAATAACTGTACGGCCCATTCTGCACAAGAACTTCGAGAGAGCTTGAGGGCAAAGATATACCATGGACAATATACTTTTGAAAACTTAAAAAATTAACTTTACATAATTATAGCTCAGTCTCAAAGTTTCTGGACTAGAAAATGGAGAAGACTCCCCAGACCTATTTTCTTTCTCAAAGGAATCATCTTCTTGGAATGCAAATTTCTGCTTAAGTGCATGGGATATTAAAGACACTGGATCCCGGTGTGAATCTTGTCTTTTCCTCCTACGAATGGGTCTCCCAGCAGGTGACCGTTCAACAGCACGGCGCTTAACCTTGTTCATGTCCTTCAGAACGTCCAACGTGTTCGGAACATCTTTATTTTCCTGGTTTTTCAAACGATGTCTGTCATTAGTCTTACTATCACCTGAGGCCTGTCTTTTCATTTCACTTGCTGAGTTATCTGAGTTACACGTATTATTAGTTTCTGGTCGTGTGAGTGAACACGGACGCTGAGGAGAAGAAAGCTGAGGGGGCACAGGAGGAGGAGAAGCAGGAGGAGGGAAAAACAGTGAACTTGAAAATGGATCTGGACTGACACTCAGTTCAGCAGTTTCCGGTGACAGTCTTTGTCCCAAACTGCTAGGTTCATCGTTCAAATCAAAGAAGCCGACGTTTGCCCGGTTTTTCAGTTCCTGCGTTTTCACAATAGCAGCGATCTGCGTGCGAAAAAGCCCCAGCCCGACCCCTATGTCTACCGCAGCCGAGACCGCGCGGAGGCAGAAGAGCTGATGAAGAGAGGGAGCTTCCAGTACGAGGGCACCTACAAGTGGGTGAACCCCCGCAAGCTCCGAGCCCCGGCCCCCAGGTGCCCGCCCCACCCCCCGTGCCCCTGTCTCTTGGTGCCTCCCACTGGCCGGCCAACCCGAGCCCACATCGGGAGGGCTTTGGACCAAAAGCCTCACATTCCTGGCCGCTGGCAACTTGCCCGCTCGGTGCCGCCTGCCACCCTGGGCCTAGCGACATTCCGCAATCACCGCGCACTTGAGACTCGCGCCATGACCATCCCTGGCTGCCACAGCCCCTTCCTGAGCCAGCTCCTTCCGCAGGGGCAAGCCCAGACGGGGAAGTGGCGTGGCTTTTCCTCGGTCTGGGGCTGCTCCTGCCTCCCACCGGGACAGGAGGAAGGGATGGGGGGGGGGCACTCCACACTCCGCCAGCTCTGAGCGAGCTCCTCACAGCTGGGGGGAAGGGGCCAAGCGCTTTCCCATCCCTCAATGCCGCTTGACATTCCTGGTCACCCGCTGGAAGGGACCTCCGTGCCGCCCAGCCGTCCCCTGTGTCGTGGGTCCCCCCCCCCCCCGCGAATGTCCCTCCACCCCACCCTGCCCCTACAACTCCGCACTCCGTGGCTCACGCACCCACGAAGGGCAGAAAGAGCAAGGGGCACATACCGTCTCAGCCCCTGCCAGTAAATCCACAAATAGAGCAAAAATCAATCAATCAATCAATCAATCAAACAAAACACACACACCCAAAAAACAAAAAAAAAGCCTGTAAGCATAATCTGGTGACCGTATACCCTAGGAGTAATAGGTGTGCAATGACAAAATTTAACTCAGGGCATAAAATGTGGGCCCATGTGACATCCAAACACAATCCCTTTTTACCCTATTCAGGTGACCTATGGTCAAGCTTCTCCTATTTCTTCTCAACATGAGAAGAGGCATAACTTATCAACAAAGCGGTATTTAGCAGGGAATTTACCAACATGACTACTTAGCCATCAGTGTAGATATGAAAAGTGACATAGACTTAAGAACAAGGGACAACATTGATCTATTTGCTCTTCAGGAGACTATAAAATGATGACAAGCTGATATCACAGGGTATTAGGCTCCACGTAGATTTTCCCCAGACTCTTCTTTAACATTTGTCAACTACGACGTGGGATTTTGTATGTCTAGTGAAATTTCTCTTAAAGGCCAATTCCTAAGAATTAGAGCACATGTCTCTCAAGACCTAAAGATTGTCTTTTGGTCCGTTTATATATATCACTTGATGGTACATTGAGTACTCTATCCCACATATCTGGCCTTCCCAGTCTCTGGGAGATTCTAGATTCTGGCTGTAAGACACACTTGGCTCATTCATTCATTCAACACATGGTTTTGAGAGCATAGATGGTGGAAGACACTACTACGCCCTCAGGAGTAAAATGGAATACAAATGGTGGACAAAGCAGACAAGGTCCCCATCCTTGAGGAACATTGAGTTTAGTAGCAGAGGCAAGAAATTACACAAACAGTGGTACTACAGTGTGAAAAGTGCTATGATGAAGGAAGCACAGGATTTTGTGGAAGCTAATCCAATCAAAGGTAAGAGAAGTTTCACTAGTAGAGGTGACATCTAAATGGACACCTGAAGGATGAATTCGTCCTCACCATATAAAAGGGAAATAGTAGTGGTAGGAGGTGGGGAGAAACCATTTAGGTAGAAATTTTAGAATGTTTAAAGACAAGGAAGTGTGAGAGAGAAAAGAAAATAGTGGGACTGGGCTACAGTGTGGGAGGGTAGATGGAGGAAGAGTTGAGGCTGAAGAAGGAAACTGAGTTAAAAGAATCAAATGCTGCCAACATATAGAATAAGGAAAGTACTGACAAGTGTCTGCGGGATGTTTTAACAAGGAAGTGAGAACAATCTCAGGGCCATAGCGGGGGACAAAGAGTGGATAGCAACGGATGGAACACTATATTATATGAGGTAAAGAAATGGAGTCCTTTCCTGAAATTTGTTTATGGAAACTTCCTCTCAGAAAGAGAGTCCTATGGGAAGAAAATGTGGGTTCAAGGGAGGAGATAGATATATTTGTTTTAGAATGTTTTATACATTACACATTACATGTGTGTGTTTGTGTGGATGTGTATATCATCTATATAAGGAATTTTCTTTTTTCCACCACTGCCCCAATCTGCCTAGTACCCAATCTCCCCAAAAACATGATCAATAACTTTGAATGGTTTATGTATCTTTTCAGAGTTTCCTTATGCACATATAAAAGAACATTTATTGTATTTCTCCTTACTTTATACAAAATATAGCATACCAAAAAAGTTTTCAACATTTTTCTTTTTTCAAATATCTCTCAGAGTTCTTTTCATAGGAGCACATCAAGAGGCCTTACACATTTTTAAAAAGCTGGATAGTATTCCATGGTATGGGTGTAACAAATTTCTTTAACTGATCTCCTACCAATGAATACATTTTGCTATTATGAATAATACTACAGTGTGTATCGTTTTGCCCACGGAAGAGTAAGGTCACTACTAGACCATCAGTGCTATCTTAGTTAACCTCACCTTATTGCCTACTTCAGAGGTGCTGAGACAAGGGCTTGGGTGCAGATACTTTAATGAAACGTGATCCCAAGGAACAGGGGTAAGGGAGTAGAGGGAGTGAGACAGGGGAGGAGAAAAAGCCAATATTAAGGTGTATTTTAGAAGTTGCTAGGACCTCCTAGCTGGTATACAGAGCACCCCAGGATTGTTTATAGAACTGTGCCAGCCTTCTATCCCCCCCCCAATAAATAAAGAATGCCCCTTGGTGCACTGTTCTGTCACACTTCGTGGAAAGTGTGAGCGAAGGCTACTGTCAACAAAACTAAATCTGAGACCATAGAACTGTCCACTGCAATGTGGCTGAGATATGGCTGAGGTATGTGATGTGGTTTCTAGAAACATTATTCATATTTGCCTTTGTGAAAATTAGGAAAAGGTGCTCCACCTGGGCCGAGGCAGTGTTGCAATCTCATGCCATTTCTATGGGAGTATCATAAAGACTCCTTTCTCTAAGCTCTTCTCATCTCTGCCCCAGTGCCAGGATGCTTAATTAGAACAAAGAAGATAGGCTGGACTTTAGCACCGTAGGCCGAAGGCACTCAAGCAGTGAACTTACTTGCACAATACTACATAGTGTACCTGGGACACCTGTATGGAGAGGAAACACTTCTATGAATGGGTCAGAGGTATAATCATGTCTCTTTCCCCAGCTTGGTTTCCCCAAACGTTTGCAGTAGTAAGTGCTTAGCCAGACTTGAAGGGACCTCACTGCAGATATCTGGCCACCCTTTCTCTACTTCCTCCTTTCTTACTCTGCTCACCAATTCCATTTGCCCTGGCCTTTCATGTCCTAAACTCTGTTCTTCAACTCAGAAGACCACGGGTTCTGCCTGGGTTTCTCTGGCCTGTATAAGCCCGGAACCTTTCTCCAGGCAATGGACTGGGACACTCAGATGTTTGCCTTACTTATTTCCTGTCTCTCCCAGACTGCTGTTCTTTGTTGCTTGATGGCCAGTATCTTCCAAATCATTGTTTCGTCCATTTGGTGTGAATTTACACTTGTCTCAAGCATGAAGGTAAATACAGCACAAGTTTACTCCCTCTTGGCCAGGAATGGGAATCTCTATATATGCACCCGTAACTTTGATAAATACTTCCATGTTGGCTGCACCAATTTCTACTCCAACTAGTAGCAACTTGTAGGTGCCTATGTGTCATGTGCCAGCCACAAGACAGAATGTTATGGGTGAAAATGGTATCTTATAGTAGTTTTAAAATTACTACTTGCCATGAGTGATACTGAAACTCTTTTAAGATATTTAAGAACCATTTGTGTTCCCTTTCCTATAAACTCTTTATCCATATCCTTTGCCCATTCTTGCTGTGGCTATTGGTCTTTCCTTAATGAGATGTTGAGGTCTATTACTTCAAAGGATCACAAGACAGAGGATAAGGCTGGCATTATGGTGCATCCTCTTCCATTGGCATTTTCTTTATGAAGTTCCATAATATTTAAAATTTTTTAAATGTTTATTTATTTTTGAGAGAGACAGAGAGTGAGGGGTGGGGGAAGGGCAGAGAGGGAGGGTGACACAGAATCCAAAGCAGGCTCCAGACTCTGAGCTGTCAGCACAGAGCCCGATGTGGGGCTCAAACCCACAAGCAGCAAGATCATGACCTGAGCCTAAGTCAGACACTTAACTGACTGAGCCACCCAGGTGCTCAAAAATACCATAACATTTTAGATTTTATCTTAGTATTTTTCAGAAAGAATATGAAGCTGAAAAAACTTTGTCATAGTTACAATTATGTGAGAATACACATATGCAAACACATTTTGAAGCTAGAACTTCAAAGACTTTAGTTCAAGTTTCTGAAACATTTTAGGATCTCAATATATATCTTTAAAAATACAAAAAAAAATGTGCTTTCTCTTAAATGGCTCCTCTGATATGGCACCCAGCAACTAATACAATGGCCAAAGTCCTAGACTTTCCTTATATTTCATAACTCTATCTTCTGGCTTCCTTTTTTAGACTGTATTTTCTTTCTTCACAGTATGCTCATTTTTTGGGTAGAAGTCTCTTTTAATCCCTTGAGGAAAGTTTTACTTCATTTTCATCACAAAAAATTCACTTTTACCAAAGAACATAACAGCAATGTACTTTTTTAAAAAACATTTTTGTTACTGAGGTAAAATTTAAATAGGGTGATGCATGTATCTTAAATGCATGATTTGATGGATGTTCCTAAATGCATATACCAGGCTGCATTATGACTTACCTAGGCCCTAGGTACTTTTGCATTCATATGCCTCTTTCTTTATACAAAATATTAAGAATTATATTTTATGATCCTGTTGGTAGAACAACCAATATAATCTAAGATACCTGCATTATTGCTATATTCATTTTATGTTTCTACTTTTGAAAGAAATTAAAATGAAAATATCTTCATGACCTCTAAAAATCTTCTGCATCCTAAATACTGTACTTACTGTGCTTAATGTAGAAGTCAGCTCTGTGTCCACATCTGTGTAACCATCACCCTGATCAAGATATAGAATATTCCTGTTATCTCAAAAAATTTTCTTGTACTTCCTTCCATTTGGTCCCCACCCCCAAAGGTAACCATTCTTCTGATTTCTATCACCGTATTCTTGAGCTTTATAAAAATATAAACATAGTTTGTAGTCTTTTATATCTGGTTTCCTTCATCAACAAGTTTTTGTGATCCATTCCTTTTTATTGCTGAGTAGTATTTCATTTCATAAGACACCATAGTGTGTTTATCAATTCTCCTATAAATGAACATTTGGGATGTTTTCAGTTTGAGACTGCCATGAATAAAACTGCTCTGAACATTCTTGTATAAGTCTTTTTGTGGACATTAAGTTTTTGTTTTTCTTGAGAAATCACCTACGAATGGAAATACTGGGTCCTAGGAATGGAAA